CATGGGCAAATAGTAGACGCTAAATTAACCAATCAGAGCGCGCGCTTTGCTTTAGTTATGTTATAATAAAAATTTTATTAAATTCAGTACACAATTACAAATATATAATTGTCTGTACCATGATTTACATACATGTACTTTAAAAGCTTGGTTCATAAATTTATCATCCCAAGATAGACTTGCACAAAAAGAAAAATATATAATATTTGAAATATACATGTATGAAGTGTGCTGCGATCGAAAAGCCGTATTTTTCAGTTATCTGACTGGATGGCTGGCTCTCAGGAATACAATGCATTCTGACTGAATACCGTAGCTAATCATTTTGCAGAAGACTTAAGAACATACCCCAACTGATTCTTTTTTTTTTTTTTTTAATGCCTTTTACGAGTATAGTAAAACTCCTTGCACAGTTGCATCCAAAACAGAACATTGTGTGCAGATCCACAGGACCACTTACAATTTTAATGAATGGTAACCCCAAAGTTGGATCTCTAGAATTATAACCAAACCAAACATGGGTAAAGGGTAATTAAGGCTAGTTCCATATGTACGCCTAACGGACCTATTTCAAGACATGCTGAAGTTGCCAAGGGAGCTTACCTGTGTTCTGGCAAAACTGATAAAAGATTGTCGTGTTCAACGTCATTGGTTGAATACCTTTGGTCTTAAAACCCTGTGGAGGTTAAACATTTTATTTGAATACTAATTAATCAATTGTTAATATTAATGATAATAAACTATTATAAATTCTAAACACGATTTAATTAGTAATTTTCTCCTCAGTTTGCAGGTCAGCACCAGCCATTCATTTTCCGGAAAATAAATCATTTATTAAGTAATTAAAACAGTGAATAAAATTGATTTAATAATTGGCAAAAACCTATTCAAAATAGTAAATGTATACTAAGCTGGGTTGTACAACTCAGGTCAGAAAAAAAATTAAATGGGTATTCTAAGTAAATTAAAAAGAAAAGAGAAAACTAATTTAAAACTTCCTCAAAATCAGTTTCAATAATGCAAAAAGTTGAAATTCAAATCAGAACAACAATCTATTAGCCATTATTGAACTGTTCTTTTGTAGTATCAGTTTCTTTTACACACAGGGAAACAAAGGCATTGGGGAGAATTTTTTCATGAAATCAACTCCTTTACAGGCAGTTCTTACACCATCTCTGGTAGAGTTCAAGATCCATTAATTTTTCTCTTGTGCTGTCAATTTGTATGAGGGATCAGTCTATGCCTCATGGATAGAGAAACTCAGGAAGAGATTTTTGGTGGAACCA